ATTTTAATCGCCGTTGAATAAGAAATGTTTCTTTCACAAGAAATGTATAAAATTACAGTACTGTATTAGACTTACGGTACCTAATTTACATACTGACAGACGATAGTTAGTGTAAAAATCTTCGTAGCGTGGTGCCACGCTAGACGGCGGAAATTATATATTTAATTATAACAAAGTTACAATAAGTTAATATATAATTATATATACAGTACCTAATTTATATATAATTAATATATAATTATATGTACAGTACCTAATTTATATATAATTTATATAATACTGTCCAGACGATAGAAATCTCTCCGTAGTTGGCGCTACGGACGGCGGGAAAGTAGTTTGGCTGCCCGATGACGTTTGAGGTAATTATAGGGAATTTTTACTGTTTTTTACGGATACCGGTCACAATTTTTTTGTAGTTTTATAGGAATCGTAATTATAGGGGGGTCGACTGTATTTTTATCATCTGAATTTTTTTTAACTAATATTATAAGTAAAACTACACTAATAGAAATGTTCCATCTTAAAATACTGAAAAATATAGTTATCATTGCAAAATCTAACACAAAGAATAAATGTGAGTGATAATTTTGATTTTATAATTTTACAAAATAACATATTAGAATCATGGCAATTTTTCTAGTTAATATGTTATCTTAACATTTTACAATTATCCAATTACAACAATATTTGTTTATAAAATTTAGCTGAGAATTAACCAATATGAAATGTTAATTATTGATTTTTTTTAAAGTTTTGTTTTTATTCTTATAATCTAAATTATGTAATTCTAGAAATATTTTATAACTCTATATTATAATAAATTTAAAATATATAATTAAAATTAAGTATTTTAAATTTATTATTATTGTTTAATAAATTTAGCAATAACTAACTTATGAAATATTTATGAAAAATGAGTGGTTGATTTAAGAAGTTAATCTCTCTATAAATGCATGTTTTATATTTTCATCCATCCTTATCAATTTATACATAAGCTTTACAAAATAATTAATTTAAAATTATGATATTGAAATAATGAACAGTAATCAAAATAAATGGATACTTCTAAAACATTTTAGTAGTAAAGCATAATTAAAGTTTAAATAATGATTTATATTAAAATATTGTCTCTATTTTATTATTTGATATTTTAATAACTATATTGGTTATTGTCAGTTTTTTCTGAGAATAAGTCAGATGTAATATTTTTAATGACTTTTGTTTCAAGATTACTTAATTTTTTTCACAATTTTACACAATTTCTGTTCAGATTACAATAAAATTTTTTATAACTTTATTTGTAATGTTTCCTCATATATTTTTTCATTGTTCATCTAAAAGCATACCAAGTTGATAGCATATGTAATTGCAATAGATTTTTAAGTGATTTTAAATTAAATTACTATTAATTTAAAGAAAGAGTCAAGAGAAAGTTTCAATTTAAATAAAATTGTATCATAATCTAAATACAGATCATGTAAATACAGTAGATCCCCCTATAAAACCGTTTCCTATAGTTATGATTCCTATAAAAATTGTGGCAGTATCCGTAAACAACGGTAAAAATAACTCCTATAATACGTAAAACGTCATCGGGCAGCCGANATAAAAATAGGAATTAAATAAAAATCTTAAGACATGATATTATACAAAAGCAAATAACTTTGGTACTAAAACAGTTAATTGCAATACAAAGGATTGTCATTCAATATACATGTGAAAATTATTGATATTCTGATCTAAATCAGTGTTCAAAATGCAATGTTTTTCACACACAGCTTCTGTGTTGCATTTGATTGAGGTGTAACACAGAGGCTATACATAAAATAAATTATCTGACAGCAGTATTTGAGTTCAACCTCTTAACATAATTTAATCAGGTCACAAGTGTTAATATGCTGCATATTTGTGGCGTAGTAAACACTAGTATTGTGTTTTATTCCAAAGACACATGGCAAATTTTCCATCAAATTTCTTTATTAGTTGATGGAAAATTTGATGGAAAATTTGCCATGTGTCTTTGGAATAAAACACAATACTAGTGTTTACTACGCCACAAATATAAAACAGGACATGGTTTCAAAAAGAAAATCAAAAAAATGCTGCATATTGTTTGTAACACTAGTCCATTCTTACTATTTAACATTTTTTTTAAAATAAAATAAAATAAAAATAACTAAATACTTTTATTTTCTCTTTACTTAAATTTTTAATTTCTGAAATAAACTACATTCTTTAAATATTTGTTACTGGTATGAAATCTAAAGATACTGACAAAATGTTTGAATTAATCACTATTTTGTAAAACCATCAAAACTAATAAAATTATTATTGAAAATATTAGTTTGCTTAGTTAAAATTTCAAGTAGTCAAAAAACATTTCAACAGTTTTCATTTATCTGCCAAAGTTTTTAAAAAATTTTTAAAATCATTATTTGCAAAATAATCTTGAATATTTTTGAAGAAACACATTTTATGTAGCCTAAAGGTTTTGAGAAATACCTGAATGATATATAATAAATTTTGTATTTGTTATACAAATAAAGCAATTTAAACTTTTTTCAATTACTGTTTTTTTGTATAGATTTTAGTTAATATTTCAGGTTCCTTTTCAAAGTGAGAAGATATATTTTTGCAATCTTATATATTACTAAAAGATTCTTCAACATCAGAATTATTTGTGTATTGCTATGTAGTAAGAATAATCTCTCTCCTGTTTTGTTTTTTAATCAAATTTTACTAATTGTTTCTTTGTTTTGTTAAGCTGTTCCATTATTTAGTCTTTTCATAAATTTAACCATGTTTGAATTTTTGAATTATTTTTGATTGTTTACATTATTTGTTTTCTTTGAGATGATCATGACTTTCCTTGAAGCATTTGTAATAGATAACATTATTTACATTCTTGTTTACATGTTCATATTTTTTAGTTGCATTTTTACCTAATGTGCAGGAAAATTTAATGGTTATTCTTTGTTTCAATTTGTAATTGTTGTTGTTTTGTACATTTCTGAATTGTATAGTTTAATAAAAATGGTTTGTGCAATATCAATCTTAATGTTATTGTATATAAATGATAAATTGCTATCATTTCTGAATTTTAAGAAAAAAGTTGGTGAGTGATAAATAGTTGCTGTAATTTTTCTGTGGGGAAAATAGCAATATTAATCATAATAAAATTTCAATAACAAACTTAGCATGCCTGACATTAAGAGCAAGCATAATGTTTGAAGATTAGTTTTTAAACAATAATAAATGCAAAAATCCAATATTAACTAACATGTAAATATTTTATATTTAAATACATGATGTGAATAATGCATTGCAAAATGCAAATTTATAAATGAATAAAAAGAATAATTATTATTTAAAAGAAAATAATTATTTTTAATAAAAATTTTCTCTTCTACAAATTCCAATGTAAATGTTATGTTAATGGTATATTGCTCATCTCTCATTATTACACTACATAGGCATATTAGGAAATTTTTTAATATATGTTCTTATTTTTTTTAATACAAATTGTGTACTATTGAACTCATATCTAGCTATAATCACTGACTTTTTAAAGCTTTTTCATTGAAAATATGTTTATTTGTTGTTGTAAGCCTTATTCTTTTTGATTTAATTGGTTAATTTTAAACTGTTTGAAAGTAAAATTAATTACATTAACCAACAATAGATTTTAAAAAATAAGTATCTAAATAATAGTAAATAATGTAATGAATTTTTTATTTACACTTTATTTACAATCTAGATAATTATTAATTTTTAATTTAATTATTTTTCAGACAAATTGATATTGCTCTAGGAAATAGTTTAGTAGAATGTCAAGAATGCCACAGCTTATATCATCAAGTATATATTTTTCATTTTATTATTGATAATGTTTAGAGTTCAAGTAATGTTTAGAGTTCAAGTAATATGATTCAATTTTATACAGTATTTTAGAATTTTCTATTTAAAATATTTTATGATATAATAAATATTTTAAACAAATATTTTTATTAATTTTACATACAGTAGAACCTCCATTATCCGGATTTTCGATTATCCGGATTGTTTAAAATAAACAAAAATTTTACGAATTTTCTGATTTGCACTTGGCGAATTACAACACTGTTTATGTACGTGATGGAATGCATAACTTTTTTGGTTTCAACAACGTCTCACCCATCACAGTGGTCGTGAACTCTTAAGTATATTTTACGTAGTAATAAAAATATAACTTGACATACGTATTTATAAATCATTTATATTCAAATTACATCATTTTTATGACCAAGGGCGGCGTAAGGCATGGACAACATGGGCCACCGCCTATGCCTCGCGGTCCGAAGGGCCTCGTGCCCCAAAGGTTTATGCATTACTTAAAAGCCGTGAACGCGATGAAAAAATTTTACTTGTCGTAAAACGATAAATAGTTTGTCAAAGTTTTATTCATAAAAATGCAGTTTCAACTGCTTTTTATTTTATAAAATCCGTCTTCTTGCGCCACCAGAGGGCTTTTTAAACAATAGGTAGTCTGTTAGAGTTGGTCAGTAGTAGTCCAAATGCAATACGAACGTTTGTTTCTTGAAAATTTGATCACGATTTAAATACAGTATTTACTTTTAATATCACCGATATGTCATCGAAAAGAAAACGTGTTGTATTATCATTAAAAGACAAATTAAAGTATTTGTTTCGATTATCTGGATTTTTCCTTATCCAGACTACCTTCATCCCCAATTAGTCCGGATAATCGAGGTTCTACTGTAATTTTATTTAAATTCTTATCTATAAATTTAATAAATTATTATTATTATTGTTATTGTGAGTGAATGATATTTTTTTGTATATGGAAAATAATTTCTTAAAGTTATTGTTTTTTTTATAGGAATGCCATCGTCCACCAGTTAGTGATCAGGATATAAATGATCCAAGACATGTTTGGTATTGTACACGATGCACAAAGAACATGAAAAAAATGGTAAGACCTATTTAAATGTTTATATTTCTACTTGTATACATATGAAGGTTTATACAGATTTAGATGTAGCTTAGAACAAAAGTTTCCTTCACAGGCTAGCAAGACTCAGAAGTCATCAAAAGTTTCTAGTAATGTAGCAGTAAAAGAGCCAGTTACTACTTTCAGAAGTATTAAACCTGAAGCACCACCTCCAACACTTTTGCCATTTAAAAGAGTTGAACCAAGAGTAAGAACTAAGATTTGTTTTCTTATATCATATTTCTCCAATTCTGAGATGCAGTTGCTTGCATCTTATCGATTTAAAATTGAAAATAAACAAAAATATTTTCAATAATTGTAAAAATAATTTTATCCATGGAATTTTCTGTAAAATTTATTTTGACTGAATAAGCTAAAATAAAGCAGCATAAAAATAATTATAGCTTATGGTGCTATTTTCCTTTTCTTCTTAATGCAAAATAAATTTTTTATTTTTACATTTTTTTGAATGTTGCATCATAATGTAATTTTTTTGAAAACATTCTAAACAGAAATAGACCGTATTTTAATTGTTATTTTTTATATTTCATTATTTTTATTTTATAATTTATAGGTTCCTGCTAGTCAAAGTAGTGGACTTGCATCTGAAAATAAACCAATTGGATTAGCTGGTTTAGCTGCTAATTTAAGTGGAAGAACTATAACAGCTGCATCTTCAGTTACAACAAAATCTGGAATTGCTTCAAAGTCTGGAAATAGTGGAAGTTCATTATTATCTGGAAAATCATTCAGTGCATTTTCAGCTCTCTCATCTCTTGCTAGTACTCGAGTAACTTCTAATACTACTCCATCAAAAGCAACAAGTAGTAATGCAATTAGTGGACTTTCCTCTTTAGCCTCAATTGCCTCTGCAGTTAGCAAAGCTGGAAATTCTACTTCTACTTCTCAATCAAAACTTGGATTGGGAACACTTAGTTCAACTACTGCATCCACATCAAATAGAATTAATTCTAGTAGTGGAAATAATGGTAACAGTTCTGTTGGAAGTGTTAAATCTGCAAGTTCTAGTTCTTTAATGTCTGCAGATAAAAGATTACAAATAATGAAAAAAAAGGCTGCAGCAAAAATGCAAGAAAAAAGACGATTATCATCAAAATAACTTTTAATAAACTCCTCTTCAATCTGTGTATAAAGAACTAAATATAGGATTGTTTTGATGGTAAATACTTTACAAAATTTATTTAATTTAAATATTATATATAGTTTTTCAGCATTGTTTGTATAAATCTGATTTACCAAATATTTCACAATAAAGTTCTTTTAACAACATTTTGATTTTAAAGTGCTGTTAAAATTATTTATTTTACATTTATTTGGATTATTTTTTTACCAAAAAAATTCATTAAATTAATTTAAAATTTATAATTTGAATTCTTATAATAATATCAAGTAATCTGTCATTTTTGTAAATGATAAGTGATATTAGTATAAAAATTAAATAGCTATAAAAGCTGATATTTTTTGATAACTTAAAAAATTAAAAATTTTTTATAACAAATTTAGGTCTTTTAATGTAAATACATTTTAGATAGACTAGATATTTTGAACTTAAAACATTTCAATTCTCAAGTTTGTTACTTTGTTTTGTCACCAATAAAATACTAACTTAACTAATCATGTAAATAAATTTATGTAAGAAATTCATAAGAATTTTGTTCAAAAATCATAAGTTGAGAATATAAAAATTCAAAATAATATGTAATAGAAAATTGAATCTGGCATATTTAACTCTTTAATTTCGAAATGGTTTTCTTTGTCAGCTTAGAACTTTCAAATCTTTAAAATATAAATAATTGATCTATTGATGAGTAAAGTAAAAGATTTCTATTAGAGGATAACATACTTGCATATTTACAAATGATATGACTTACTTCACATTGAAAGTACAGTCGACCCCCCTATAAGATAGAGATACGTTTCATTCTTTAGGAATCCGATTTCTTACGAATCCTTCCAATCACAACCCGACACGTATCAAGTTTATGGACTACGGCTGTTTGAAAGATTTTCTTCCATAAAATTAATTGATTCTAGACTAATCCGACTCAACATTTCCAAAATACGTATATTTTTTTGGGAATAATCCATATAAACTACGCTATAAACAAAAAATTGTAGAATTACTTACCGAGTGTCACCATTCGACATCGCCATTGCTCAACATTGTTTTCGTCGCGGAACAGCTCAGCAAAGAGCGGCCGATTTCTAACAACTTATTTTTCTGTGAAAACTTCGTAGAACTTCGGAGACATCATTAATATAAATAATTTTAATCGCCGTTGAATAAGAAATGTTTCTTTCACAAGAA